TTGGTCAGTCTATGCTCCATTTGCGTGTAGTGTTTGTGGATAGTTGGGAGTTTGGGGAGGGAGGGAGGAGGGGGGCACAGCGGGTATGCATACCTCATCAGTTTCCTTCAGGATCACTCGGCGCTCGCTGTGGCCAATGACAGCCCAGTTAATCTTGATATCGCGGAGCTGCTCGACGCTGATCTCGCCAGTGAAAGCACCGTTGGGCTTGTCGTAGACGTTCTGGGCAGCAACACCGATCTTGGAATCGGCGAGCTCGCGGGTCAGAGCGAGGTAGACAGCGGGGGGAGAGATGACGACCTCGGTACTGTCGTCGAGCTTGGCGGTGTTGAGGTTCTTCACGATGTCGGTGATGCTTTGGGCAACACCGTTCCTTTATAGGGTTAATTGCGCGGTCTTTCATGAAAAGAGTTGGAATAGGTAGAAGGATTGAAGGGCTCGAGACCGCGGGGTAGTGAAGCTCGAATAACGTACATCTTGAAGTTACCACCGACGAAGAATTGGCGAGGCATATTGAATGATTATGTGAAGATTGAAGAGAGGAAGAAGGAGTCTGAGAGAGATGTTGATAGCTATGGAAGAGGAAGAAGACAAGGAAAGTAAATGTAGGAGGGGCACGATGGTCTGCCTGAAATATTAGGTGTCACTGATGACATCGGTTTCCCTCGGGGCTCACCGGGGGAGATCTATTTACAACGTACGTTCTAATTTCTCAATTTGACCGGACATCATATGTTTGGACTTACATTCGTATCAGCTTTTAGCATTTATTATTCTATCTCTTTTCTACTTCCGGAAAATCCGTCTTCTAAATCATTCCCCTACCTGAAACCCATCTCCTATTCTTAGCCAAGCTTCTCTAGGACCGGTGTCATTTGCGCTATTTAACGATATGACTGAAAGCACCGCGTTCATTTGCGGCATATTAGCAAAGGGTTTCTGTTACTTCCTGTCTGACTTTTCCTTATGCCATTCCCAGTATTTCAAAGTTCTTTACTGTCGAGACAACTGTACGCTACAGACCGGTCAACTTTCGTCTTTGTTCGATAAGCAGTGCTTTAGCCCCGGAGGTACTCAAAGTAGTTATAGATCTGATCACATTTAGATTGTGTAGTCATTTACGCCAATTCCAAGAGCAGTTGATTTATCTGGTGCTGATGTTTATCAACGTTCATACATTCTCAAAGACGGAATTGAATGTATTTGAGTCAATTCTGCAAAGTAAGTCTATATGATGCCGCCTTTTCTCTTTTACGCAGTTTTGAAATCATGAATATTCTTTTTTTGCCTGCATGACTAGTTCCAATGTTTTTTTTTGAGGGGGGGGGGGGAACTGGGTTGGGCAAAATTTCCGGGAGCTTGGACAGTTCATCAGGCTGCAACCAACTTCTTTGAGATTTGTCAAGGCCGTATATAAGGAATCCTCGGTCACGGTCGGAATTCGGGGATCAACAGCACGAAAGTACGCAACTCTGTTGTCACAAGCGCTGCAGGTAAAGTGAGGCAGTGAGAACCGAGGAGGGTTGTGAATCGTCCAGCGCGCGCGATTTTCTCTCACTTGCATTTCGGACACTTTACAAGGACTATTGAGGCGCTATCATTCAAGTCTGAGACTAAACGAAGCAAAGCAAAGAACACGATCGCACCTTGTTCAACTCTAAGCGCTTTATCAACTCGTTTTTGGATCGGGGCCACACAATCCTGTCAAGCATCGGTAGGGATAGTGGACAGGATTCCCTTACAACCAAGCCACCCACAGCCATTTTTTTGAGACTTGATTAATGGCGATGACACATCTCTCTGGCTTGTCTTTGCACAAAAGCGGAATGGCATCATCAAGAGCGAACACGTTGCATACACTACATTTCCATTTCAGCACCTACCCAGGGCTTCCCGGGATAGTGATATCCGCGATGAATGGTGGTTAGGTGATTTAATTGCCTGGGTATATCTAGATACCACCTTAACCGCACCATTTACATCAAGAGAATTGGCCACATCAAAGGATGCAATGGCACTGTTGCTCCCGTTATGGAAAAGCCAATAGACCATTTCAAGCATGCCTCGGTTTGAAAATGTCTCTAATTCTCAAGCCTTCTTGGGATTGAAACTAGTTCAAAATCTCTTTAGGGAAAGCCTTCCCAGGTGAAGCATTCTCGTTCGATTTCCTGAAGACCATGCTCACTGGTGAACCAGTTTCCTTGGAGAAGTTCCTCAACGTTTGTGGTGATTTCTAATAATTTATCCTGTCTCTGATTATGCCAAGATTCTAGTATCCTATCTCTGATTATGACAAGATTCCAGTTAATCCGTTGGTGATTTTGCTTTTGTTTGGAAAGGTTTCAGGAAGTAGGAAAGCCTGAACTACTTACCGGCTCATCCTGCGAGATACTTCCCGGTGAGTATCTAACCGTGGGCTTCAAGGAATGTTCGGCCAATCCTCAGAGGATACTTTGCTTTCTTGAAGCCCTCCTTTTCGGTTAAACACTACGCTCCATTTACCGCTGTGGGAAAGCTGCTTGCAATGCCTTCCTGGCGTGCAAAAGGTTTTTCTTTTTAGGACATTCCTGTTGGCGGAAAATTCAATTGTGTTTGCAAGATGGATGATCTGTCTGAAGAAAATTGACATGTAAATTAGTTCCAATACTAGCCAACCGCCTGACAATAGTTGACGCTTGATCTTGGGCTTTTCTGAAGTTCCTGCAGGCCTCGGGCCCGACCTTGGCTATTCCACTTCTCATAGAGAATTATGGATAATAGACGGGGAGAATGAAACTTGTGATCTTGAGATAGAGGTAGGTATTGATACAGCTCAGAGAGTTCAGTCTCACTTAGAAACCCACCGTTTGGGGTCGTCAAGGGAAAGATCCCGAAAAGGTGAAAAGAGAGACTAACGGGTTCTGACTCTCTTGGTTTCATGATGCAATGGCCTTGGAAAGTAGCGTGTAAAAAGAGTCATGTGGGAAAAACTCACAGGAAGCCTCTAGCGGCGTCACAGTTCAAATAGACAGCCCTAGAGTTAGCAACTACTTGAGGGAACTGCTCGGTCAACGGCGGGCAACGGAAAGTCAAGGTTGTCATTTCCTGAACCAAGACACTAGCTTCCATAAGCCGTTGCACTTTACTTCGTGAAAGTCTTGAAGAAATTCTGGAACCTTTCTCGGGCCTAATAAGCAATCCTTCAGAGAAGATCCTGTCTGTAAGCAAGTGGGTGGAAAAGTCACCCACCCAATCTAAGTCCCTAGGGTAGCACATACATCCGATGGACTGCCATTGATGTGGATGGGTCGACTGTTCAAGTCGTTTATACAAGCTATTTGTACGAGTTCCTACGTGACATATGGATGTTACGTATGTGTATACTAGGTAGGTAGATTCTGAATGTTCTGAATGTTGTTGTGTGGACTCGCAAATGCGGACTACATAGGCAGAGTGATAGATACTACTCTGTTATGCGGAACCTGTTTAGAATTGACAGTTTAGCTTTTCATTTCAAGCAAAAGAAAAAGAAGGAAATAAAAAAAAAAGTACCATTGAACGAATGAAATACGTTTTGGGAGAATCCCATCAAGGAGATTTCGTCAAAGCGGAGCATAACTACGTGGCATTTGATAGTAAACACATGTTGTACATAGCCTCCAGAACCATAGTATTTCATCCCAATGAGTAAATACCATTGAATTCTAGGACCAGGATAGCTTTTTTTGGGTATTTTACATCAATCCTGGCCGCTGATTCTGTTTGATCGTTTTAGCTGTTTGAGTCGAAGAGAGAGAAGCAAAAAACAAGAAAAAGATAACGTCAGCACTAGGGTTCGAACCTAGGATCACGAATGAACTAGATAACTCGAATGGATGTTCACTGTCAGGAGGTTAGTCGATGATTCGAGTGGAGCTTCACACGAAGGATACATACAGTCTAGCGCGTTAACCACTCCGCCATACTGACTTTAAGGCTACCATAAGTGACGAGCTATTGTCTTTCATATCAAATGGCCTCAAGAGACGAAAACCACCTATTTAAATAGCCAAAGCTGCACAAATAACTCCCACTTCTATGCTGTAGCATCCATTCCGGCGGCTCCAGCTGGGGGTGGGGAAGTGACCAATTCCAGTTAGAAGTTCCGTAGCATCCATGGTATTTTCAGAGTAGAACTCCATCGATCTAAAATCTTATTTCCACCTTCTGTTGTGGTTTTGTTGGAGCACAAGTACACCATTGGCAACGATGACATCCGTTTCTAATCTCCATGCCCATCTCTGGACATATCTTAGTCCCTTAACAGATCGGGGAAGGCATGTCATTTCTTATTAGTCTACTTCTCTGCCTCGTTCTTATTGTCCGAGAGTGGTGGTTACAGAAGTGCTAGGATGGTCCCGGCATAACATTTTGTGTCATCAGGCCCAGAGCGCTCAGCAACATAAATCTATGGGTAGAACAAGAATATGGGATGATCACTGGATGTATGTGATTCTCTGATTTGAATGACAAAACCGCTTTTTTTCCAATCGGGACAAAGCTGACTAAAACAAAACATGCAACTTAGATGGACATCGTGCCGGTCCGAGTATTTTCCGGGGTTTCCTGTCCTGTTTTCACCCCTATCGTATCAGATTCGACACTCAGCCCTAAAAGTCATGGCGCCCCAGAAGGTGCCGGGATGAGTGGATGGAAAAAGGGATCTAGTTTAACATGGCTGGCACTAAAAAAAACATTCTGCTGATATTGAATAACTATTCAAACTGCGCAATTGAAAACAATTCTTCTGATGGTAGGGAGAAACCCGTCGTCATCGAGATCCAATGTAAAAGAACGCATCAGTCACTGAGCTTCTTTCTTCTCCTTGATCGCACAACGACAGGTATTACTACACACTGCAAGCGGATTCCTCACGGGCAGAAGAAGCTCAAGTTAATGCATCTCGGCAAAAGGTTCTCTTCAGCCATTGCTCCCGATGTCCAAGACTTGCTTCACGGTGATCAAGGATTCGGCTTCGGATCTCATTGTCGTTCATCAACTGCAAGAGATATGTTTTACCAGTCACTGAGCCTGATCGAGCCCTCTCAGCCAGTCTTGGTCTAAGTATCCTGGCTGGAGGTACCTCAAACTGGTCGCCAATGGGATAATTTCTGTCCTGTCTTCTGTCAAGGCGATGGCTGTGGGACTTACGGCGAGAATAAGGCCCATGGCTGGAATCGCGATGGTAAGGACAAGCATTCTGTTGTCGGAAAGAGGCCTGATTCAGCTGCGGCTGTTGACGCTCGGCCTCAATCTCAGTCTCCATGCTTTCTGTGTCGTCTGTGGCAGATGTTTCGTCGGATTCGTCAGAAATCACAGATGCATCATCTGAGTCGCTGTTCATTTCCAATGGATAGTCCGAAATATCCTTAAGACTCATGTCGCTGCTGTATGTGGCACCGGAGGCTGGACTTGCTGGTCTGTCGTTGATGGTTGCGGCTGACCGGGTGGATTCACGCAGCTGATCCCGCGATCCTGCGGGGTGACCGGTCTCAACGTCTGGATATGTAGAGAAAAATTGGTCATTTGAATACTTATAGGCAGGGCCCTGGGTTGGATTCAACCGTGCAAAGGGATTCATTGCTTGGGTCAGTTGGGAAGGCAGCTTTTGCAATGTGGGCTGCAAAATATGCTCATTTTGATCTGGCGTGAGATGATGGCCTCTGCAGTCAGACCACATAGTTGCAGTCTTGGTTTCCAACCGAAAGGGCCTCCCCAAAGCCACCAAACCACCCATAGAGATCCTGCAATGTGCTTGGGTCTTCATGGACCTTTGCATGATGATGACGTCCATGGAGATTACTTCATAATCCCTACGACGAGAATGCCGAGCCTTGGATTTCTTTGTGTGTTCTTTGATGTGAACGCAGCTCCACTCAACAAATGGATTCTTGTGCCTTTGTTCGTCAATCAACTGGTTTATATGAACGCGCCTGATGTCAGAGGACCCTGGTATTGCTGCACGGGGGATGTTTGATCTGCCCTCGTCTGAACCATTTTGACGTATTCATCTTGGTTTAGATGCATGACTGTCCGTTTCACACAAGTCCAGGTTGCACCTTGCTTGGGCATAGCCTTGGAAAAGGTGAAGCCCTCATAAACAGGACTGATTGATTTGAAGCCAGGATATTTCTGGACAGATTGAAAAGGATCGACCGGAGACAATGGGATTGTGTTTTGGTTGTCTTTTGGGAGCTGCATCGAATTGTTGTCGGGGTTTAGGGCAGACATTGTTTTGGAGGGACCTCTTTATTTCTTTGAAGGGTTAGTTGGCTATTAGAAGGAATCTGATGATTTGAGAAGAAGACCCGTCGCTATTTATGAATCGGTTTGCTCGTATGTGTGACCTTTATCTGGATTCCCACAGTTCACCCGGGTGCACTGAGGCTGAAATCGGCCCCGAATGCGGCACACCATGAACTTCCAGTGTTGTTCAGCCGTACAACTGGAGTCGCCCGGGTGAATTTTATTATGGACACATTAATTTACTAATACCTTTACGTGTGTCATCTGATAAATATAAGAACCGAGCGACTTTGATATAATTCGTTGGGTTTTGCATGGGTCGGTCACTTTGGGCTCATTGTCCATTCTAAAAAAGGGAACATCTCTTTGATGTTCAGTAGAGTATCATTTCGGGGGATTTCTTTCATTTCGTAGAATTTTAGCCTCTCTTTTCTGAGGACAACACGTCGAACCTTTCTTTGAAGGCTGTACATAAATGACCTTCTTCGCCCTTGGAGCCTTTTTCGTACATTCCCACACCACTTTTCTTCATTTGACTAATTTAATCATACATAATGACTGAACAGATAATCGTTAATCCGCAGGACCCTTATGCTTTTGACCATCTCCTAGGGAGAGATATGGGCGCAATCAAGGGGAATCACACATTACATCGTCAGTTGTCGCAAATCCGCGAATTCAAACACAAGGACTACAGCAACAGCTTCTCTTATAATGCTGAAGAGCTTTTAGACCCCTCGAGCCAATTGTTCCAAAGGTATCCCCAAGTGAGCCAGGTTCTTCGAGATCGTCTAGGGGTAGCATTTGCCAAGCGGAACAACGAGGAATTCTCAAGGTGTAATTGTCGGGACGATTTAGGTCATAGATGCGACAGTGAAGTGTTTCAAAAACGCACTCATACTTCTTATGACGATTTCAGACGTTTGAGTGCTGATGGGAAGACCACTGCCAAAGCAGTGTGCCTTTGCCCGGACCTTAACGAGCGAGTGCAAATATATGGATTCATAGGCGCAGGAAGTAAGGCCCTTCCCTCCTCTTAATCAAAAGTCTTGTGTCTGGGTAAATTACTAATCTGATAACAGCATTTGGAGCTACGTTCATTGCTCGCGAGAAAGGTGTTGCGGGTGCTTCCCTGGATGACCTTGAACAATACGCAATCAAATCTCAAGTCCACACAACACAGTGGATGGACAGGGTATCACGCACAAATGCTCAGATGGCGCCCTTTTGTGAGCCTGGCGGAGAGAAACGATATATGCCAGAAGAAGCACTTCTTCTGATCTATCTCGATGAGAGCAAAAGGTTCCCGCGGCTCAACTCGGTCTACACTCACGGAATGCTAACAGCGATTCTCATGACTCCCTGTGTTGATCCTAGCTATGAAGCCATTTCAATCATTGATGAGGGCCATTTTGACCGAATCAAGTTCAAGGGACCAGTCCCGCCGCGCATCCGGAAGAGATATCCTCCATTTCCAGCCTTTGATGGCAGTTATCTCATGTCCGCAGCCACCAAAGAACCTCAACTGGGGGAAACAGAAGGCAGCAAAGTGGCTTCACAGCTTCTCCAAGCTATGATCGAATTAGCTGATATGAAGGTCTGCCATGCTGATATCTCAGTGACAAATTTTCTAATGGACCAAAACCTCAACGTTCAACTGATCGATCTTGGAGTGCTCACCTTCTCGCTTGAGAGCACAGATATACTTGACATAGACCATTTCATCCCCTACCAAGAGTACCAGATGATGCCTGAGCGAGCCATTGAACTGGAGAAGTACGATATTTGGAGGGATCCATCCCACGATGATGTCTGTATTGAAAGTATCTACTTGCCCGTTGACCAGCGGGAAATTTGCCTGTGGAAATACTCAACGCTCATATACGGGTTTCTGCATGGCTTTTGGCCCTGGGATGAGCCTAAGCCAGTGCCGAGACATTTAGATTGGCATGCTGGGTATGATGGTCCTTACAATGACCCGTTATACCCAGTAGTCAAACGCAGACGAAAGAGAATGATCAATGAGGATGTAGCAATCAGCGAATCACTCTCCCAGGACTGCAGGGATGTGTTACAAGCCACACTGTCCAGAGAAAAGTTCGAGCGGCCGTCGTTGGAAGAGTTATCGTCCTTTCCTTGGTTTTCTCGCTGGTCTGCTGAAGAACTCGAGTCTGGTCGCCCTTTGAAAAGACCGTTTGTCAAGGATTTCCATGATAAATGCCGTGCAAATGGTCGAAGGGGTTTCCCGTGGCCAAGTGTATCACTGGACCAAGACATGTCGTTTCCGATTCTTAAGAACCCAAAAACTAATTCCTCTGATTCCTCTGAATACTCTTCTGATTCTTCTACATATTCTGATGAATCTGACAAGAATGGATACGAACAAGTCTCCCCACCTTTAAAGGCATCACTTTGAGGCTTCCATCTTGTTTAAAATTACTATGGGAGTATTAGAGTCGGGAGTTGAATTGAATTTGATAACAATCCAAGATTTTGACATGTGAATACTTTCATGCCGCTGAGCGTATTATGTGGTTTTGTGTAAGATTATCTAGTTCACGGCTAGACGCCCTTGGCATGTTGAAAAAAATGCGAAGAGTTGAAAGGAGATGGATTGGCATGTAAGTAGCAGGAATATCTTGCAAGGCATGCTAATAATAACAGCAAGACGGGTAGACTCAATTAGGGCTCAAGACAGCAGGTCAAATTATCACCATTGTTATCAGTGGCATATAAGAAAAAAAAATCGTAATCATCGCCGAAGGCTGTCAAGCCTAGCTTGGAGGTCATCATCACTTGTATTGCCTCCGCCTCCAATGGCTTGCGCAACTCGAGTTTCATTCACTGGTGCTTTCTGTATGTGTTCGGGTGTGTCACCAAGCTGTTGATGGAATTTGTTAGTCTGCTGGGTCCATCTTTTGATAGTTGGGGCCGGGAAAACAAACCGCCTGGTTCAGATCGACGCCTATCTCATCCAAAATCTCCTTCAAAATATCTTCTCCTTCCTCCTCTTCACCTTCCATTCCTGTGGCCTCATCGATCGCATCATCCATCATCTCTTGCCGTTGGTCCATAACGTCATTTTCTCGTTCAAATTCCATCGCAATCCGTTGCAGTGCTGGGAGATTCATCTGTCTATTCATACTACCCAGAAGCATTGTGGCTCCTTTCATCGATTGCATCATCTGCTCATTGCTTCGGACGGTCTTGGAAGCAGGCAACAGTCAGCGCATCATCATAGGACTAAGAGGGGCAGTGAAGGACAGCTTGCGCCTACCTGGATGCGTAGGGAAATAGCCTGTAATTGCGTGCGCATTTGATAGAACTTCTGAATGTATCTGTTGTTGCCCCATCCAGTCAGCCAATGCTGCTGCGATCAGTAAACAATCAAGATAAACCGACCTCCGTGTCCGAACCAGGTCCTTGGCCTGGATCTTGCAGGCTCCAACTTGTCCATTTTTGGCACTCTTCTTGATGTCTTGTACCAGCTTCTTCTCTTGGTTCTCCAGTTTCACTCGCTCTCGGTCAAGCTCCCGCTGTGTTCGGTCCAAGGCACGCTGGTGTTTACGCAGACGCTCCGCGGGGGTCATGCGCTTTCCGAAAGCCCACTCAACGATCTGGGGGAGCTCGTGTGAGTAAAATGGTCATATTCAAGGATTTGATATGCGCCTTACATTCATGATTGCGGGTAAAAATGGGTTGTGAATTCAAGACAAGAAGTAAATTCAAGTACAGTGCAGGAGCCTGAGTAGAAACAGTGACATCAATGGCAGTATGGTAAAATTACGTGATATTACTTTAATACCAGGTCACATGTGCGCTAAACCACTTTTGGACCGACGTCATCTGAAACCTTGCAAGCACGATCATTTCATAACCAAACTACCAAAAACACAACTTCTCTTGGATGGAGTCGCCCCCACGTTGAGGGTTTTCATTCGTCATGAGTCAGGAATATCACCCTGTTGAAGGCTCGTCTTCCGGAGCTGGTTCGTCCAGGTTCTCAGGCGAGGAAGAATTTCCCGAGAAGAATCCTTTTTTCCGTCCCCCGCCGACCTATATGACAGTGGGCAACGGTTCGACTTCAGACAGCGCCACAGCCTTGATGACTTCGCTGAACCAAGATTCTGGCTATGGAGGCAGCGTTGCCAATACGGAGGACGATGCGAACTCTGCTTGGCGTGCAGGATTGATGGAGGATAGGCCGACTCCGGTGCACACTCCAACGCGCCCTGGAGAATGGAATCCCGCAGGTAGGTGGCTGGTGTCTATGCAACGGCTTGATTAATAGGGGATAATAATTTACCTAATGAACCTTGGGATACAGCTGAGCATGAGAAGCAAGTGGTTGCAAGTCATGTCTCTCAACTTCTCTAGTATGTCTCGCCTGCCCACAAACAACCCATTCATTGAAATCCAAGGCTAACAGTATTTTCAGCAACTCAAATCGAACCAAACTCGCTCGTGCGATCTCCCGGACGATCGACACACTGAAAGAGCTTCAGGACATGAACCGCCAATGGCCCGCCCACTATCCCTCCGTGCAAAGCACATCTTTTTCTCCCATGGACCGACGACCATCCCTGAACCAAACTCAATCCGAATTTGGAGACAATAATAGCAGACCTAGCACACCGCCCCGACCAGAGCTGAGGCGCGCAGCCACCTTGATGGGTAGCGATGAAATGGGAGAATCCAGTGCCTCGGCCCAACACCGCATCACATCAGAGCCTAGATTGATGACTCCGCAGATTGCGCAAGAGTTCTCTATTCTTAAATTGGATCTAAAGCTCGGCGCACTTTCGCAGGCAGAGCTAGTGCATTCGTTGGAAAAGGCATCGATTGCTGCCCTGCTGGATGGAAAGATCAGCCAAAGCATGAAGCATCTCCTTTCGCTGCGAGACAGAATTGAGGATACCTCAAGTAAGGTCCTGATTACAGGAGACTTGAACGCAGGCAAATCGACATTCTGCAATGCTCTCCTGCGCCGGAAGGTGTTGCCAGAGGACCAGCAGCCTTGTACCAGCATCTTCTGCGAGGTTCTCGATGCTCGCGAAAACTGCAGCGTTGAAGAAGTCCACGCCGTTCACAAAGATACGCCTTACAACCGCAATGACGAAAGCACTTTTGATGTCTACTCTCTCGCCGAACTCGAAAACATCGTTGTCGAAAACACGAAGTACATGCAATGCAAGGTGTATGTCAAAGATGTACGGTCCATTGACGAATCTCTGCTCAACAACGGCGTGGTTGACATCGCTTTGATCGATGCACCGGGCTTAAACTCGGACTCGTTGAAAACCACGGCTGTCTTTGCTCGGCAGGAGGAGATTGATGTCGTTGTATTTGTGGTTTCCGCCGCAAATCATTTCACGTTGTCTGCAAAAGAGTTCATCTTGAATGCTGCACATGAGAAGGCATATATCTTCGTGGTAGTCAACGGATTTGATCAAATTCGTGACAAACAGCGCTGCGAACGCATGATCTTAGATCAGATTGGCAAACTCAGCCCTCGCACGTACAAAGAGGCTGCCGAACTAGTTCATTTCGTTTCAAGCAACGCTATACCTGTTGCACCTGCTATCTCGCAGTCTGGCTCAGGTGGTGGTGACGGTGGTGGCTCAGATCCTCATGATGACGATGATGATAGGGACCCGAAGAATAAGGGCAAGGGCAAAGAACAGGAGAAACTCCAAGACTTCGAGAACCTTGAAGGCGCCCTGCGACGTTTCGTCCTTGAAAAGCGCTCCCGGTCCAAGCTTGCGCCTGCCAGAACTTACCTTCTGAATCTTTTAGCTGACCTTAGCTCTCTTGCCACGGTAAACCGTGATGTTGCACAATCGGAGCTCACTCGAGTGACCGATGAATTGGCGGAGATTATACCGGCATTCGAGAACGGCAAGAAAAAGAAGGGAGAGCTTGCAGAGGGTGTCAACAAGGCCATCGACGACTCATGTGATGACGTCTACGGTCATACTCGTTCGACATTGACTAACACAATCGCGCGTGTTTCTGATGCAGACCTCGGTGTTGAGTATCCCGGCATCTTTTCGGCGTTCCAGTACGCCGAGGAATTGAAGCTGGCGATGCTGGATCAGATCGCCTCATCTGTTGCCGACTGCGAGGACTACGCCCGTGAGAAGACAGTTCAAGGAGTTGGTTTCATCCAGAACATCGGTCTTCTGCACATTGGTGAAGACAAATTTACTCCACTCAATTTCCGTGCGGATGCTATGTTCCGCCGTGGCCGTCGCCACACGTTCGGCCGACAAGTCGACACCGAAGTTGAGCTGTGGGATTTCTTCGACATTGCTGGTCTCTGGGAACGCCAAGAGAAGATGGCAGGAACAGGCGTTGCAATGACTGTGGTCACTGTTCTTGGTAGTAGGGCATTGGGCGGATTTAGTTGGTTGGATAGTGCCTTGAGTGCTGTCAAAGTCATTGGACCGAACAATATACGCCGGCTATTCATCCCTGGACTCCTCGCTGCGGGTAGGTTTTTCGATTTTTTCGCTCAAAAAGAACAGCAAACTAACTTTAAACCAGCTGTTCTGACTACAGCTTATGTGCTCAGCTCCATCCCGACAACTCTTCCCCCACGCCTGTCGCGGAAGATCGCCGCCACTCTTGCCGAGATGGACTATGTCCACTCAAATGCCAATCGAATCTCAACTGAAGTTCGCCGTATGCTGCGCATGCCTGCTAACAATCTTCAAACCTGTCTCTCTCAGGATATCGAGGATCTCGGCAGACGCAAGCAAGAGGTCACCAAAATTAAGCAGGAGAGCGATGTTGCCACTAAGTATTTCTCTAACCTGTTCCGGGACAGCAGCGAGAACCGCCGTTCTATCGAAAACCTGGATCTTGATGCTCCCTTGCCTGGCGGAATGGCTGCAGCAATGCAAGCATAAGACTATGTCCACCTTTGTACAACCACTCATGATTCCTACGATTTTTCGTTTTCACTCTTTTTCTTCTACCTCCTAACTTGTACAGTTCACATCTTTCTCTTCCCCGTTCTCCATATTCCTACTAAAATCCTCACGTCATGATCCCTCACGTTGGCTTAACGGTCCCTTCTGCCCTGGGTTATCTTGCCTCGTCGACTTCCATTGTATTTCATGGCGTGATGGTGTGCACCAGAGGGAGTCTAATCCTTACCCAAGATTCCCCTTTGAATTAAGATTGCATCTAGTTGAAATTTTCTCTTGCTAGTAGCCTCAGAATCGCGAGTTTTACTTCGTCTTTCTTTTTGCCCCCAAAATGTCGGGTATCAGAATGCAGCTTCCACTCGGGTTCTCGAGACAATACATCACCCACCCACCACTCCCATCATAGGCCTGAGGATATGTAGCTTGTTTGATCTTGAGCTGAATTGGATTATCACTTCAAAATTTTAGATATCGCTTTTTCAAAACAATAAAGAGACCAAATAGGGCGCCATTCGCAATGCAGTGTCATGCCTTCGCCGCTGAAAACCAAAAAAAACGCCCAAGACCTCTGTGCCATGTGCAAAAAATTAAATATCATCCACTTTCACGGGCTGCTTCCTCGTCCTCCGCCCAGATCCCCATCCAACATCTTCCAGCTCCCGCACTTCACCGACAATCAATCCCGAGCTATCGGCCTTCGTTGTCTTGCCAGACAACTTCCCAGCATCCCTCAGGAACTCCGCCCTCATGGCAGCCGCATCAGGATCTTCATAATCCAGCTGCGTCATCTGCGGTGCTTGATTTTCCTCATCTTCGTCCTCGGTATGAGGTGGAAATTTATCGTTTAGGAAATCAAATTTCCCACCGCTGAGCATGGATGATAGACTCTGTTCGGCACGGCTGTTACTGCGGGATGTGGAATTGTCTCTAGTCGGGTGAGCGCTTTCCAAGGCGCAGCCAAGGCCGTCGTCATTTAGTGTGTCGATCGAGCTGGCGCGTGAGACGGGGCGCGGGCCTTCTAACACTTGAGCTGAAGAGTGGGAGGGGGCGCGTCCGAGGAGCGGCTTGCGCTTTCGTCGGGGTGGAATTCCGTCATCATTGGTCGTGATGTTCTCGGACTGATGTCGTGACTTGGCGGCGCGGGCTTGCTGTAGGAGCCCGCTCAGGGCGGTATCCAGTGCGGATGGACCAGTGGGTGGTGCTGAGTCGGTACTTGGCGTGGTGTGTTTGGTATTCGGTTCCTCCGAGGTTTGTCTGTCGAGTATCCTGGCCGGGGTTGGAGATCGAGACTCTGGGACAGAGGGTTTTGGTGCATCGGTCTCAAAGCCGTCGCCAACTATGGGTATTGTTCGACTTGCGGCGATGTTCCCTAAACTTCGCTTCTCGCTCCTACCACCATTCGTGGACTCGGTAGAAATGTTATACGGGGAACCCGCTTTGCGTTCATCAACATGTCTGTCCGGTTGCTTTCTTTTAGCAGACGAGGAACCTAATTTCTCCGTGCTGTTAGCATTTTGGGGTAATTGTCGTCGGACAATGTATGGCTCGAATGCTTTCTTTTGGCCGGTTTGGATAGATATCCAGAGCCAGTCAGCAGACACTGCTGGAACGCCCCACTCGGCAGTATGCCGCAGTTTATCCACACTGGCTGTTTGGGGGTCATTGCAAATCAAAACGGATGCTTTCTGCGTTAGGAAATCTCCGTATGTGGCACCCATCAACTCTACCAATTTGCGTAGATGTAAAAGATCAATACGCCCAAAGCCGGTGGAAGAAATCCGCAATTCCGAAAATCCTAATATCATTAGAACATGTCTGAATCTTGCATTTAGTTGGGCATCACCTGGTATTGGGAACTTGGGGAACGGAGTGCTCGCCACATGAGACTCGGGTAGAACAAAAGCTCGAGCATCAATGCATCTTTCCAGCCACATCTCCGTCACGACCTCACATTCAAATGCCATTTCATCCGTTGACGGAATTGCTGTAGTGGGAGTCTGATATGGCACCATAATGAATAGCCCATGCCCTGTTTTGGGAATAGTAGGGCTAGAAAACTCATTCAGTGAATCCACCAACTGAGCTCCGTTGTAAGTGAGATGCTCACGCAGAACTTTAGACTAAAGGTTGCATTAGTTTTAAAGTACTGTAGACAAGAGAATGAGCACAAACCTGCTTGGAAGTGAATCCATTAATGAAGAAATAAGTCGCGTGTAAAAATCCATGGTCTTTTGATGGAGCAGCCGGTCGTGGAAGACGAGATTGGGTGCTTTCAGAAAATGTAGTCTCGCTGGCGAATGACTGATATGCCTGTATGACAGGCTTCGACGCTTCGGGTGGTTCATGTCCGTGTGTGTTCCTTTGAGGCCCAGTCGTTTCGTTATTATCGAATCCTGTTCCGACAATGTCTCCCCATATGCTTTCGTTTTGATCTACCAACTTTGTACTTGCAATCCTGCGTAATTTTCGAGGTCGTGGGTTCAAAGAGTTCTCTTTGGTAGTGCTATCCCTTCGAAGAGGCTCTCTCTCTGTCGGCGAGGATCGATTCCACGCCCCAATACCTTGTTCTGTAGGGGGCATCAGCGGATGATATTTTTGCTCGTCCAAGATCATTCCACGCTCGATACTGTCTGTAAACCATTTTACGGAAACAACTTTGATGTTCCATTGTGTTGCGAATTTGTACTTCTCGCCCTCCGAGTTGCGCGCAATAAGATGCGTCACAGTTTTGGTCAGGTCTTTCCGATATTCGGCCCCATTCTCCTCGGTTGTCTTCTGCATGTAGGCTCGGAAAGGAACTGCGGCGAATTTGTTAACGTTGCTCAATTTGTGAAAACCAGCCAACTCACGGTCCGAGAACCCAGTGATGCAGATTTTGAGGCCATGCAATGTTGCCAGTCTGAATTGTTTTTCCAGCACCTGTATGTCTATGTCTTCTCCCTGAGTCCATGAGTGTCGCACGGCCTCAATCCATTCCGGGTTCATTGCCACCACGTCGTTCCGTTCTCTGGCAACAAATTTATACTTGTCGCTGTTTGTATCGCCCACAAGCAAATGGGTTACGTCCGAAGTAAGATGGATGCTGTGCATCGCGCCCATTTGTTCCGCCATTTTGGTCAATGGGGTCTGTGAGATGGAAACGCAGGTCAGCTTGCGCTTGAGGCTTCACAGGTTGATAAATCTCTATCTGACACATACTCTCTTCTCAATTTGTACGGATGTAAAGCAGATGACTACACCCGTCAGAGGGTAGTCTTTGTCTATAACATTGCCTGTTAGCTAATCGTGATCAAGGTTCAAAATAAAAGCTACTTCACATACTCAAAACGGCCATCCCTGCCATCCCGCATGATCGCAGGGTGCAAGTTGCTCCAGTATTGTGTGATTGGCAAGAAAATCTAGCGACTGGTGGTTGGTAATGCCTGGGTTCTGCATTCTCGTCCCGCGTGTTTTGCGGCGCTTGGTGATCACGTGACGTGATGTCCCTCGCATGCTTTTGAGCATATTTAAACGCCCGTATTAAAACCTACACTTAAGTAGGTTGATAGTATGATTTGTTGTATCTGATTGCATGGTTTTATGTAGTAACTCGTAGGTTAAGGTTGTTTGGGGGTCAGTGTGTTGTGCATATGCAGATTGAACGATTGATCCGAAGTAAATAATTAAGACGAATTGCCATAATGCAATCACCAGTTGTCAATAAATGCTTTACTGTTTCGTACATAAATTAATCAATTCAATCCAGTAAAGTCCATAACATTCCATAACATAGGATAAATACAAACCTACTAGTGAGACAATTGCTTGATCAATATTGTTTGAACATGGACCTCGGTGGAGCTGTTATCCTTATCAATGCCCGTCACGTGTAGATAAGCGCGTCCGTTACGCGTTGCAGAATTTCGATCTACGTCCCTGTCGGAATTGTCTGGCGCGAGCTCAATGTCTTGGTTAGCATTCTGCATTTCATTTTATGCATGTTGCCAGAATTAGGGTGCGGGGCATACACATAATTCGATCGCTCTGTTTGACTTGCCCAAGGAGACCCCCGAGTTCATTTGCGTATTCATCCTCATCTCGACCCGCTACAGCCCCCGAGAAAATGTTCAAGAAAGCCCTCCAAGACCACCCGGGTAGTGGGACAAAACCTCTTCGCCAGACTGACTTATTGCGTGCCAATGCAACAGCCCCTTCGAAGCCAAAACCACAATCACAATCCGGTGGAGTCAAGCGAAAAATCGAAGTGACCGAGTCCTCGCTGGGGTCCCTTCATAACGCGGTGTATTTCGATGAAAATGACTTCGACGATGATCTGGATCTTGATGAGCCACAGCCATTGATTGCCCCGAGTGTGATTGGCTCCACCATCTCCAAAACAGTCACATATCCAAGCCTTGACACTACGTCAAGAATTGGCCAGTCTGTTAACAGCAACGAACATCCAACAGATGTCAATTACCCTGATCTTCCATCCATATCCCAAGAAGAAGCAGCTCCTCCTAGTAGCATGCAGTTACCGTGGTCCTCATCGCCGCCTTCCCATTTCCAACCACCCGTGAGGAAACCTCGTACCCTTCCGTGGACCATAGAAGAAGAGGACCCCCACGAAGACATGAAAAAGAGCTTTGTGGCTCCTAAACGTTCAAGGCCCACAGAACCGTGGAACAAGTCCGAGAGCACTATCAAGGCGGAACAGAAAGAGTTGCGACAAGAATATAAGAAGACCCAAAAAAGCGACGGGAACCCGAAACCACAGGACAATTCGAAGATTGCCTCTGTTTTCTTGAGTGACGAGCAAAGAGCTGTTCTTGAAGCTGTGGTAGACCGCGGGAAGAGCATGTTCTTCACCGGTTCTGCAGGAACGGGAAAATCGGTGCTCATGAGAGAAATAATTGCGAAGTTGCGCAACAAATATCGCAAGGAACCCGATAGAATTGCAGTCACAGCATCAACAGGTCTTGCGGCCTGCAATATCGGGGGTGTGACTCTCCACAGTTTTGCTGGGATTGGTCTAGGCAAAGAGCCAGTGCCCGAATTAGTGAAAAAGGTAGAGGTTTTCAACTCTCCCAGGAGTCGCTGATGCTAACAAACCCCAGATTAAGAAAAACCAGAAAGCTCGAAATCGCTGGCTACGTACGAAAGTCCTTGTTGTTGATGAAGTCTCCATGGTAGACGGGGATCTGTTCGATAAGCTCGAAGAGATTGCCCGACGGATTCGCAACAATGGCCGTCCCTTTGGGGGAATCCAGCTTGTTGTAACAGGCGACTTCTTCCAACTACCTCCCGTGCCAGACGGAAGCAACCGAGAAGCTAAATTTGCATTTGCAGCTGCTTCCTGGACGACTTGCATCCAACATACCATTCTTTTAACCAACATCTTCCGCCAACGAGATCCCGAGTTTGCTGATATGCTGAATGAGATGCGACTTGGAAAAATCACTCCTCGCACAATCGAGGCTTTTAGACGGCTGTCTCGGCCCCTTGATGTCAAAGACCAGATTGAAGCAACAGAACTGTATGTTTTACAATATAATTATGCTGTACTTAAGCTAACCCTTGACAGGTTCCCTACGCGCGCCGAAGTGGATGGTGCCAACTCTGCACGGATGGCGAGACTTTCTGGCGAGGTCATGAGGTTCAACGCTGTGGATTCTGGGACAATCCAGGACCCTCAGCATCGCGAGAGACTGCTGGCAAACTGCATGGCCCCTCCTATGATTCAGTTGAAGAAGGGTGCTCAAGTGATGCTCATTAAGAATATGGAAGATTCGCTCGTCAATGGCTCTATTGGAAAAGTGGTGGCCTTCATGAGTGAAGACTACTTTGATTCCTACAAGGAAAACGACAAAAATTTTGCCGACGATGCGACTGCAAGCGATAATGAGCGGGCTCATCGAGCTCGGAAAAAGCTCAAACCTATGGGGTACAAGGAGGGTCCAGCCTCAATGGCTCGGAAATGGCCGCTAGTGTCTTTCCTTCAGCCTGATGGCTCAGAGCGTCACTTATTGTGTCAACCGGAGACATGGAAGATTGAGCTCCCTAACGGAGAAGTGCAAGCTCAGCGTCAACAAGTTCCGTTGATATTGGCGTGGGCTCTGTCCATCCACAAGGCCCAGGGCCAGACTCTCCAACGTGTGAAAGTTGATTTGGGCCGAGTGTTTGAAAAGGGCCAGGCTTACGTTGCACTGAGTCGAGCGGTATCGCAGGAGGGACTGCAGGTTACTCGATTTGAGCCTCGCAAGGTGATGGTGCATCCGAAAGTGGTGGAGTTCTACTCCAACCTCATCACGATCACAGAGGTCAACCAGTACAAAACGTCAAGTGCTTTGAACCCAGATGACTTTGATGACGAATTCTTTTGATATATATAAGATTGCGAGATTTCTCATTCTTTCACATTCACGTCAGAAATAACATCAACTTCCAAGACATCAGATTTCATATCCATAATACGCAAACTACTTCAAACCACGTACCCACGGACTTTGATGGATTTGCATCGTAAGTGCTCCCCACGGCTCGTCTCTTATCTCTTATCGATAAATCACGTGACACGCGATTGAGCTGTGTTTCACAGCTCTTTCGTCCCGCCTCCGCCGCAAGGTCTTCTGAAGTTTGACGCGCCTTCCAAGCAAATACATTTGCACACTTAATGGCTGTTTAGCTGGACTCAGAAATCTCGAAATTATCATGGCTTCCGAATTTATTGGCTACAATGTGCTTGTGACATTGAGAGAGCCACACGGTGGAAAGCTGGTTGGCCAGGTCGCTAATGTGTTTGGGCAGCGCTTGCTGCTCCAGGATGGTGAGCTGTGAATGAGTTTAACATGCATCTTATATTACTAACCTTTTGAATTCCAGTCACATTTTTCTGGAACGGTCAACGCCTACCTCAATATTCTATTGATGCCTCTGCTATCATCGACCTCTCTCTTGAAACCAATACTCAGGCTCCCTCGCAGCGTCAGCAACTACCCCAGCACCAAATTAATCCCCAGCTTCAACCTTATGCAGCAATGCCTTTACCCCCAGCTCCCACTCAGTCTACTCCAACACAGCAACAATTTAACGACCCGGCTATTCTGAGTTTTTCAAAGGCCCCTCTCGTTTCTAACCCGTTTATTGAAACTGCTTCGACAGCCGTGCCCGCCAACCAAATCCCTGGGGTAGTTTCAGCCTCTCTGAGTGAGCCATTTAGCAGCCTGGAATTGAATGCAGATAGTGACAAGGCCGGAATACAAGGGACCTCCCACAAGAAATTACCCCGAAGCCCGCAGGAATTGTCACCTTTAAAGCAGACACCAAAGCGGAATCGACGTGGCAACCAAGAAAATATACGGGAAGAGAGAGGATATGTGGCCAAACATGGCGCCGCAGCAAGCACCAATCCAAAGAGCAAAGGCTGGCGCCAAACTGCATTCGTAGAGCCAGCTGCTCCTGCACTCCAGGATTCACCTGAAGCTAGGAGCCGGTCTGGAATTAAACTTCGCAAAAAGAAGTCACGCCGTTATGCCGAGGATCCAAGTGGATGGGCAACTGAAGATGCTACCGATATCCAAGAGCTGGGTGAATTCGACTTTGAAAGCAACCTGTCCAAATTTGACAAGCGGACTGTGTTTGAACAAATTCGAAACGACGACACTACCGCAGACGAGGAGCGTCTGGTGAGCTTCAATCGAAAAGTCAAGCCAGGCACTAACGGCGGAAAGAACCTACACTGGACGGAGAATGTGCTCGATAGCCCACAGAACAGCGATACCGGGGATGATATTGAAGGAATGAGTGAGATTAAACTGAGCAGCGATACCCTCTCTACACGCGAGCGGTCAAGGGCGCCTACACACACACAACCTCCTCGCAAAGACAGCGCGATACAGGCTCCGCCAATGGTGCCACAGCTCAGTGCGCTTGGTCGCAGTCAGCTTCACGTCAACATTTCTCGCACAACCAGCCCTCGGCCAAGCCGATCGTCAGTGTCGCCTATGATTGCTCCCAATGTTTCTGGCTCTGGATGCCTCCGGCTCACAACCACGAATCGTAGCTGTCCTACGGTAAGCCCCTTGCAGACTCTGGAGATCGAGCAAATCTCGGTCGCCGAGTTTGGATTGGCCGATGAAATCATCACAGAGAATGCAGGTCGGGGAATAGCAGAAGCTGCTGTGGCTCTTCTGTCCAATGATGCTGCTGCACCCACTCTGCTTATCCTTACTGGAAACCATCGTACTGGGGCAAGGGCTATTGCTGCTGCTCGCCATCTACGTAACCGGGGTCACCGGGTTACGGTCTGTTTGCTCGGGCTCGAACACGAAGCTGAATTACTGGAGAACTGTCGTAAACAACTTGATATTTTCCGCAAGGTCGGGGGACGCGTGCTTAAATGGGAAGATTTATCCGCTCGTTTAGCCACCTCAGACCTGGGCCCCGACTTGATTATTGACGCCTTATTTGGCATACATCTGTCCTTTGACGATCTTCGGACCGACGACCAAGGCGTGGCTTTTGAGATGATTTCCTGGATAAACCGCAGCAATGTCGATGTGTTGTCTGTGGATGTCCCCTCCGGACTTAATGCTTCTACTGGTAAGTAGTTACGGAAATCAATCTGAACCGATTTGACTAACACAGAAAAATCCACAGGCGAGGTTACCCTGGCTGAAGGTGGCCGGCTTTGCGTCAATGCCACATCCGTGGTGTGCCTCGGAGCGCCCAAGACCGGTGTGCTGAATGCTCTTCTGTCTGGTGAAAGACTCTCCTGGAATTTGGCAGTTGCCGACATCGGAATTCCTCAGATCGTCTGGAGAAAGTACGGTACCCGTCGTCGGCATGGAATTGATTTCGGAAACAAATGGGTCGTGCCATTAAAGTACCAGCCCTTGCTTTCCTAAACACAACAACTCTTTTCAAATAATATGAATTACCACGATCTACATTGTCACCGGAGGCGTTTTCAATTTACGTAACTATTCGGGCGGAGCTGGTAGCTCCGTCAACAGCGTTTGTTTTGATGATGCATGGGCTTCCGGGATTTCCAACGGGGAGGATAGCACTTGTACATGTATGATTATCCACTGGCCTTCTTCTGGCCTCCGGATCAGGACATCGTGGCCCACAAAACTAGTCGAACTCAGATAACAAAAATGGAATTATAAGCTCGTGCTTTGTAAAAGTTGGTGATGTGCGTACTTCGGTTCACTCGAGTGAGTCAATTGACCTTACCGACTTTTTCTCCGCCTGATGATGTGTGTGATTTTCTGCGGCAATATTCTTAGCCTGCACAGTCTGCCTGTGCTCTATTCTCAAAGCGGTAAGTGTCCTGCCGTCATATCATTTCCGCGGATTGCGCGAAAGTTGCTGGAAACAGCTTGATCTTCAATTATGGGAAAAGGTATGTCTTGTGTGAGCTTCTCTTTGGAAGTAATTAGACTAAAATCGTTGGCTACAGGAACTGATAAGCTTTACGTATGCGACATCACCTTCTTTTCCACATCCCAACACTCCTCTATCGCATCTTGAATCCCCACTGATTATCAAGATTGATTTAGATCACACACTCCGAGTGGGCATCCGAAGATGCTTTCTCGGCCAGTGCTGGCGCTGGTGTTTCTAAGGCCAAGAAGGGTGGTCCCCACGCTGCGTTCAAGCGCTTGCCGTTCAATTTCTGTTCTCTATCCCTCCAGCCATTTTCACACCCGGTTTGCACGCCCACAGGAACACTCTTTGACCTCACAAATATTCTACCATGGATCAAGAAGCATGGGACCAATCCTGTCGACGGGGCCCCGTTGAAGAGCTCAGACTTGATTAAGCTGACTCTCGCCAAGAACGAGGATGGCGACTACGTCGACCCGGTGACCTACAAGATTCTTACAGATAATACACACATCGTCGCTTTACGGAATACAGGGAATGTATTCTCCTGGGATACTGTGGAGCGACTTAACATCAAGGGAAAATTGTGGCGCGACTTGGTCACGGATGAGGAATTCAGCCGAAAAGATATCATCACCTTACAGGACCCACAGAACATCGAATCGCGCAACCTCAGCTCGTTCAACTACATCAAGGAGGGGGAGACGGGAATCCTGGATGGCCAACAGACCTCTGGGAGCGTCAACACCAGTGCGCTTGGCAGCTCAGCGAAGATCCTGAAAGCGAAAGAGGCAGTTGCAAAGGCACGGTCCGAACGCGCTCAGCAGGCTGGCTCTGCTGCGACCGGTTCGAAAGCAGTTTCAAAGACTGGAGCTACGAATGTGGCTTCCAAGGCGCAACCGGGAAAGCCAACACCCTACAACGCTGCACGATTCACCACGGGCAAGGCGGCTGCCTCGTTCACTAGCACAGGGCTGACACCGCACACGTCTGCCGAACTAGCGGTACTGTCTGAGGAGGAATACATGCTCAAGCGGGGTCGCGTGAAGGCCAAGGCTTACGCGCGCATTGTGACAACCGCCGGGCATCTTAATCTGGAGTTGTATCCTGAGCATGCGCCCAAAACCGTATGGAACTTCCTTCAGTTGGCCAAAAAGGGCTATTATACAGATGTGCCATTTCACCGTAATATCAAGGGCTTCATGCTCCAGGGTGGTGATCCAACTGGCACTGGACGAGGCGGCGAGAGTATCTGGGGCAAATACTTTGCAGATGAATTCGAGGGGCCTTTGAAGCATGATGCCCGAGGCACGCTGAGCATGGCCAATAAGGGCAAAAACACAAATAGTAGTCAATTGTACGTGAACCCTTGCGATTCACTTGGCTCTATGAGCGCTAACCTGTGCTTTCAGCTTCATCGCCTATCGAGCCCTGCCTCATCTTAACCTCAAGCACACCGTCTTCGGCCGTCTCATCGACGACCCAACTCCTTCATCCACTACTTTGAATACTCTAGAGATCCATCCGGTGGAATCAAGTACGAACCGTCCTACTCCCGACATTCGCATCAAGGAAATTACGGTCTTCGTAGATCCCTTCGAGGACTTCCTGGCCCAGAAGCGCGCCGAACAAGCGCGGGCCACAGGTGCCACGGGTCCTTCTGCAGAAGAGGAAGATGAGACTGCTCGCCGCGCGGAAGATGACCGTATCACTTGGACTGGAAAACGGGTCCGCGGTGCTGAGGCAGACTCAAGTAACGGCGGTGCCTCGGGTGTTGGAAAGTACTTGAAGGCAGTACTGGCAGACCGGGATGGACAGGAAGAGGATGAGATTGTGGAATCTCCGGACGAGGAGGTTGTGCCTGAGCCCGCTCGCAAAAAGGCCAAGGGGCCTGGAGGCTTTGGAAACTTTAGTTCGTGGTGATCTATCTACTTGTCAAATGCCTTTTTCGATCTCAAGTTTTGTTTTTAGTCTAGTACGAAAATTTGTGATCACCCCCTGCAACATATGATCCCATAATTAAATCCACTGCATACGAATCGGAGGTTAGGCCGCACTCAATACCTAGGCGGGGGCACTTCGGTGGATGGCCCCGGATGACTGAAGATGATGTTGACATTTACCATGGCCTTTTAGATAACTCAAGACTTAAAGGGCGTGAGATCCTATACGGTAGTATTCCCCTTTTCACAAATGTGTCACTACAGAAGATGGATGCCGACAGCTTTTTCTTCTAGATGTCCCTTGGAACACATGTATACCTTGCACTGTCTCTCACTTTGGTATAATTCATCACGTTGTTCGAATCTCTGCCTTCACTGGAATTAAACGGCTAATCTTGCAAACTCCGTGAACACCATATCTGCACCAGCCTCATCCACTTCAACTTGTATATTACCCGATCTCCGTCCCCTTGATCTCGCTTTCTTCCGTTTCAGCCTTCTTTCTTGCAATATCTATTTGGCCCAGTGTATATTCGTCCGGATCCCACGCCAATACTCTGCTCTTCATGTTTTCCAGTTGCTGGGAAACAACCTGTTCCATGTCATGTTTCTCCTCGGCATTCAAATACTTTGGTCTCTCCCTCCATGCATCCGCAGGGTCAGAACATCTAGTTGGTCCGAAAAATCGCCTATCGATCTTTTGCCAATATATCGCATCAAAAGCAAAATTGTTCCTTGCAGCGTACGCAACCCAGAAATCTCCACTCTCCCAACTCTCTCGCATGGGGCCGGAAAGTCGCCGATTTTCTTTCAGTTGACACTTCCTGATCGCTTCGTCCTCGCGGCTAATCATAGCTCTTAGGAATGTCTGGAGTTGACATTCATACTCTCCACACCAGTCTTCAAGACCGCCATCTGTGGGCCAGTATTCGGGCTTTTCAATAAGAAGCCACCAAGGTGGCGCGTACGAGAACTCAACAGGGGCGGCACATGTGAACTCCCAGTCCACAACTGCGGCAATTTTGAAATCCTTGTTGAGAAGGACATTACCTGGTCGGAAATCGTCGCACCAGAATTTAAAGGGGCCATTTTCAAAAGCTGCCCACCGCTCTGTGAGTTTTCGCTCTCGGGTGAGCTTCCGGAAGAGATACCTAGCGACGAACTTTCGTCTGCAGTCATCGGCTGAGTCAATAGCGTCGTTTCTTTGGTTCATAGGATGTACAATAGCTCTGCTAAGCTTTCAAAATATGATAACGCTGTGTCGAATGTGGTATCTAAGCTCGGTAAACATACTTAAGGTAGCGACCCAATCGAATAAGTTCATTCATAGGCATCGAGAGAGGTCGGTGTGTGACTTTCCAGGTAAAATCATCAATCTGGCTAAGTGATCCTATATGGCAAAGAGAGGGTTAAGAAAGCTGAAGTAGAATATATGCTAGCTCTCCGTACAGCTGCTCGAGTTCATCCTCATCAAAGTCTGGGTCAAGAATGCCACGGTATGCCCGTGAGCGACCTAGCATATTGAGGACATCGTACATGTTTGTGTGGTGATCCATGAATTCCATGATCATATACTGACCTAGCTCGAAAGGGCTATCCTTCCGAGTCCCCCAATCCAGGACGAAAGGAGCTGGGATTGAAGTTTGGTCATGAATGTATCTTATAATAGCAACCTCGTTACGGACTTTTTCTTTGGGAAACATAATGGCACCTGGTTGTGGGAGACGGATGATAGCGGAACTAGAATTTTTTGGATGCCATCTCAAAAGAAATATTGAAAGCACCTTTTCCCAAAAAAATCAAATAAGTCGGGCTTGCCGGGTTCGTGGTGTCTAACAAGGAAACGTCCAAGTTCCCTCAAGATGTTGAGGTCGGTGAACTGGGCGATCCAGGCTTCAGAGATTTCTTCGCTTTTCTCCCAAGCGGCGTCATCATAGCACATGCGTGGTTGCATATTTGGTACAAAATATGTGATTTTGGAGGCGGTCCACATTATCGCGGCCTGTATAGATCAACTTGGGGGAAATAGGGGAAGACCCAAAAATGAGCCCTCAGTTAGGCCTGATCACATGATTTCTAAAAAGGTCCGGTGAGATTCTGTAAGGATCGCATGGTTTCTATTAGGTACCCGGTCCTCGCTAACGCATTTCACCAGTGAGTGGACCACCCACCCCGACCTACGAATTTCAAATGTAAAAATACACTAAAATCATCTATCTAACCGGGTATCTGTTAAATCTATACCCGGTTTCTCTACACCCACTATACCTTAGTGTGGCCTATATATATATGGTTCTAAA